AAATCATAAAAAATCGAAATTATCGAGATGAAAAAGATTATTTGGATTCAGATTGAGTATGATTTTCTATGTACTTTGTTTCACTGAATTTGAATCTGAAGTTTTCTTGTCCCATTGAGGTTTTAAAATTTTTAAAAATCTCAAAAAATCAAAAAAATCGAGAAAATTGCAGTTATAAATATGAGAAAAAATCTATTAAACACGATTGTTAATGACTTGGGTGTATTTTCATAGATGGAATATGATCTTAGAATTGAAAAATTGTCAAAATTTTAAAATCTATAAAACATGGTGTATAACTAGAATGAAGAGAACGATTTTCTCGAATTTTAAATTGTTCCAAATTTGTAACTTGAATACGAAAGCATTCCTCATCACTTATTTTTAATCTTGCGGAAAACGCTCCACGGTTTTTTGCCGGTTCAAACTCGCCACAAACGTAACAAAATAAATCAGAACTTTTATTACAAAGATGGGAATTGCTTATTGTAATGGTATACTCTCCAGTAGCCAAGTTCCCACTACTGAAAATCGTACATCATTTTTTATAGATTTAAAAATTTTGAAAATCTTTCAATCCTAAGATCATATTTCATCCATGAAATTACACCCAAGTCATTAACAATCGTGTTTAATAGATTTTTTCTCATATTTATAACTGCAATTTTCTCGATTTTTTTGATTTTTTGAGATTTTTAAAAATTTTAAAACCTCAATGGGACAAGAAAACTTCAGATTCAAATTCAGTGGAACAAAATACATAAAAATCATACTCAATCTGAATCCAAAAAATTTTTTTCATCTCGATAATTTTGATTTATCATGATTTCTTGCAATTTTTTTGGGTTTTTTGCATTTTTTTCAAATTTTGAGGGCTCATGGGGCTACTTAACGTTTAGATTCAGATTCAGTGAATTGAAATACATGACAATCATACTTGATCCGGGTCTACAAAAATTTATTCATTGCTGTGACTGCAGTTTTTCGCAATTTTTTGTCTTTTTTGGGGTTTTTTGCATTTTACTCAAAATTATGAGGGTGTACGGGCAAAACTGACTTCAAATTCGGATTCAGCGCGTCAAAATACATAAAGATAGGTAGGTCTGGTCAAAAGTACAGACTACTTTTTTTTTTGTGGGCCGGTGTAATTATTCTCAAACTTTAACAATATTACACGTGTCAATTATCTGCGAACAGAAACTCATTTGGTTGCTAAAACGTAAAATTTAAATTAGGGAAATTTATTATCATAAAAAAATGTTACCATCAATATTTACTAATATTTTTGAAATAAATACAAATTTTATCATCATTTGAAATAAGAACTGTGAGTCTTTTTAAAAAGCACAAAAGATTCAAACTGAAAAATTATACCTGCATATATATTGCACGATTCATGATACGAAGCATCAGAGTGCTTTACGATCGAAAAATTTTTTTCGCCTCATTTCGGCAACTATTTTTATTATTGTAGCCTTCCCGGGAAAAAATGATCAGATCTGATCAGACCTGTTCATATCTGATCAGGCCTGAAATTGGACCTGATCAGGCCTGTTCATGTATGATCAAGCCTGAATTTAGACCTGATCAGGCCTGATCAGACCTGTTCATGCCTGATCATGTCTGAAACGTTAAATACGCTCAGACCTGATCAGACTTGTCCATGCCTGTCCATCCCGGGAAAAAATGATCAGGCCTGAAATGAGACATGATCAGGCCTGATCATGTCTGTTCATGCATGATCAGACCTGATATTAGACATGATCAGGCCTGCTCATACATGATCAGACCTGCTCATGCATGATCGAGCCTGAGGTGTTAAATGCGATCAGGCCTGAGCAGATTTGTATATACTAAACTTTAGATATTTCTGCGACTCCATATATTTACGTATATTAATTGCACATTTTACGATATAATATGTCACTTGTATAAAATTATTAAAGTGATTTGTTTTTAAAGATTGTAACTGATAAAACGTTTTTTCTCATGAATACTGCAGTACTCTAGCAAAATATTACGTTTAAACACAGTAAGAAGAAATTCCTTTAAGCTTTTGAGACCTTATTTGATATTCTAACTACTTTTCTTTTTACTCAAAAAATTAAGTATGTCAAATTAAAATTTATATAAAAAATCAATAAAACTTACGACTTAGTCAATATGTCTTAAATTATTTTGTAAAATACTCTATGCAATATACGATAATTTTTTGGCAAAAAATTTATTTTTCACACAAAAATTTATTTTTCACACAAAAATTTATTTTTCACACAAAAATTTATTTTTCACACAAAAATTTATTTTTCACACAAAAATTTATTTTTCACACAAAAATTTATTTTTCACACAAAAATTTATTTTTCACACAAAAATTTATTTTTCACACAAAAATTTATTTTTCACACAAAAATTTATTTTTCACACAAAAATTTATTTTTCACACAAAAATTTATTTTTCACACAAAAATTTATTTTTCACACAAAAATTTATTTTTCACACAAAAATTTATTTTTCACACAAAAATTTATTTTTCACACAAAAATTTATTTTTCACACAAAAATTTATTTTTCACACAAAAATTTATTTTTCACACAAAAATTTATTTTTCACACAAAAATTTATTTTTCACACAAAAATTAAATTTTTGACAAAAAATTTATTTTTCACACAAAAATTTATTTTTCACACAAAAATTTAAGTACAACTTTGATGTCTTAGTTACTGTTTTACTAGGTAACTCGGAATAAAAAATTATTTTCATTTAAGTTTAAGTTTAGTACTCTAAATATACTAAAGTCTATTGAATTATATCAATCAACTATAAATATTCTTTCTGAAATTATTGCTTGCCTCAAATTTCTATTTAGTAAAGCACAGTAACATTAAATACTGGTTAATCGGAAAAAAATTAACACAACCCTAAACTTTTTATGCAGTTTAAATAAATAAACTTTGAAATTAAAAAAAAACGTAGCGAAAGTTGCGGCCTCAAATTCAAAGGATTTTATCAACACGTGTATCAATACTTTAGTGGAGTAACAAAAAAAAAACGTTTTTTAAAACGAATTATCTATGTATGATTAATAATTAGATTATTTATAATTACTAATAAATAAATTACTTATATAATTTTCTTCAACACAAGGAATATATCATGTGACAGACTTAAATTACTTAAAGAAACTTCTGAAATCACAAAATACTAATGGGTCAACAAAGAGAGTGAGTTTTACATGCAAGACATCCACCATTCGATTTCTTTCATCGACGAATTTTTTTTTTCAGACCTGGTCAGGCCTGATCATTTTTTTCCGGGTAAAAAAAAATAAAATAAATTATCCATGTATGATTAATAATTAGATTATTTATAATCTCTAATAAATAAATAACCTATAAACTTTTCCAACTCAAGGAATATATCATGTGACAGATTTAAGTTACTTAAAGAAACATCTCAAATCAAAAAGTACTAATGGGTCAACGAGTAGAAAGTCAGGTTCACATGCAAGAGGTCCACGGTTCGATTCCTGTCATTGACAATTTTTTTTTTCAAACCCGGTCTGGTCAGGCCTGATCAGACCTGAACGCTCATGCCTGTTCATGCATGATCAGGCCTGATCAGGTCTGATCAG